CCTAATAAAATGATTTTTTTAAAAAGAAAGAAATCTCAGAAAATGTAACAGGGTCAAAAATCACAGAATCGGTTCACCAGCTGTGAAAGAACCCAACTCAAAATCCACTGAGACATCTAGGGATTCACAAAGAGTGGGCAACTCAACAGCCCACGTGGATAGAATCCGTGGTTCCTGGAGAAGAGGAGAATGAGCATGCTCAGATGGGTTTGGATGAACGTGACAATGAGAGGTTGCTTCAAAATTGAGGAGCAGGGCTGAAAAGAAGTGTGGAGGGGAAACATTGTCATTTTAGATGTTTTACATCAGAGAAGAGGAAAAGTCAAAATTCAATGATAGGAAGTTTGAAAAAATATAATTAAAAAAATATGTATACATATGATAGAGTATACCCAAAATAAGTAGAAGTAAATATTGGTGTGCCGCCTCTCCTTTCTCTAAGGGCTCAGGGGGGACTGCAGAGGGCATGGCAGGTTGGCGGTTTCACAGGTGCGCACGTTTGTCCAACCTCATTAAGTGGTACATCATTTTGAGCGGGTGCAGTTCATTTTGCTTGACTGAGAAGTAAACCTTCACAATCTCTCTCATTACGGCTGATGAAAAACAAAGGAGCCTAGTGCATTTCAGGAACAGCCCAGGTGTAGCCCGATGGGGTCGTTTTGGGCGAGAGTTTCAGGTTTTATTGGAGAGTTTTGAACCGAGACATGCCAACATATGACTTACATTATTTTTTTGGTATGACTTACATTATCTTAGGGATTTGAGGAGATGCACACCTGTCGTACACTGTTCAGTGGTTGATGCAGTGACTCTAGCGCACAGATTCCTTCTCGTTCTCTCCAGTTCTGAAAACCAAAAGGGCTGCGCTGGCAATCGAAGTGTGATACAATAGTACCATCTAGTGGACAAAATCCTGACCATGTTATCACCAGTCAACCAGTGACCAGCGGTGACGCACTTGCCTGCTAAGGCAAAAGTGAGGTTCAAACCCATCAACAGCTGCATGGAGGACCAGTGTGGCCCTCTGCTTCCCTAAAGGTGGTTGTTGTCTTTAGGGCCATCCATCTGTTTCCAGCTACAAGGCCTTTAAAGTGCTTTGTGGAAACGGATGATGAGATTTCGAACAACAGCTTGTAGGCATACAATATAATCAAAGCATTTCATATCTACGAAACGTTGTTATTCGATGCCTTTGAGTTGGTTCCTGTGTACAGCCGCAGAAAATGCCGCCACTTTCACAGTTGGAATCATGCTGGCCAAGGAGTCAGTCCATCAACCACTGAACAGTGTATGCTATAAACTTCCTAGTGCTGGCTGAGGTCTCCACGCAGTTTCTCTAGCCCAGGCATCCTCAAACTAAGGCCCGCGGATCACATGAGGCCCGCCAAGGACATTTATCTGGCCCGCGAGGTGTTTTTGGCCTATTTGTTTTTCTACTTCAAAATAAGATATGTGCAGTGTGCATAAGAATTTGTTCGTAGTTTTTTTTAAACTATAGTCTGGCCCTCCAATGGGTCTGAGGGACAGTTAACTGGCCCCCTGTTTAAAAAGTTTGAGACCCCTGCTCTAGCCCCTTGGCTGTATCAAGGTAGGTCCATGTAGCTTCTCTTCTGGGATGTCTCCCAGGGAGGGAGTAGAGAGAGAGTGTCTCCCATCTCTAAGGAAGAATGCAGAAGTTCCCAGAATCCTCAGGAAAAGGCTAGGCCCACACAGAGGCCACATTGGCTATACAATGATCGACAGCTAGACTCCACCCCTTCACTCTTAATTCTCAAATGGACATCAGATTATATAACTCCCAAAGAGGGCTTGCTTTCTCTGTTGGCATTAGAGGAAGGTCCTGGTTTCCTTTCAACCTCTGTGGGATTTCCACAGGAATTCCCTGAAGAGCTACATGTGCGGTCTTCCCCTGGTCTAGGAGGTTTTCCATGCAGGGATTT